TGCTTAACACTGCTGTTATTCCTGAGCCTGATTTATGGGTACCCTGGGGTACTCCTAACCCCTTTTGATGTTATTTCTGCTGGAAACAGTTGACAAAAGCAGATCTTCCCTTAAGGATTGCACAGTTTTAGTATTTGTTTCAACTTTCAGCCATTTGCTCAACCTATTAAGAGCTTCTTCAAAGACATAAAATAGCAACCCATCACCTTGAATGCTACAGAAAAAAAATATATGCATAAAGGCTGCCAATTCACACTACCTCTGCTGTAGATAAGCAGAATACATTGGAAGGCATTGCACTACATGGAATACTGCCTATGGATTTAGCATAACCCTACAAGGGTATTTGGCTCTGAAGTATTTCACTTTGTTGGTCAGAGCTGCATGAACATATTCATATCAAATATAAACCCAAGGCAAACAGAAAGTGTGCCTAATGTAAACTTGAGAATAAAAATTGGCAATAGGCTTAAACATTACTTCCACTTTGTATTTTTTCTATATACCATAGAGTACACTACTGCTTTAAATATGATTTTTATGAGCTCTGCAAACCTTTCTAAAACCATACGTATGCCATGCCAAGAATCTCGAAGATTAACTGCTCTGCCTGTGGTGGACTAACTGTGCATGAAAAATGGACAGAAACAACTAGATAAATGGTATCTCTTGCTGCAAACAATAATATTTAAGAAATACATAAATAGTACCCAGTTGTCATCTTTTCCTGTTTAAATTTTTCCAGCAAAAAGGAAGAAAAATGTATTTTGAAGAACAGACACAAATTTTTTTTATTACTGTAGTGAAGCTAACAAAGTAATAGTTAACACACCAAACCCAGTTATTCTTCTTTTCCACCTGAATGCTATAGAATGATGAAAGTAGTTTTCACAAAATACTATAAACTGCAGAGTGCCTGGGATGCTACTTTTCAGCTGCATAGGAGTATTAGAAAGTAATTGCCAGCACAAATACATACAGTCACCTAAATGTTTAACTAAAGTGAAAAGGTTATGGGTATTTGTGTAATTTCTTTGAGTTATATCTAAATCTTCCAAGAATGCTAGGTTAGAGAAAAGAATTAGAAACTCAAAAAACTGAGCAGATATTTCATAAGCAGCCCAATAATTTACAATGACCTTTGTGCAACACTGATAATTGATTTAATTGTTTGATCTCTAGCTCTTTGCAAAATGGGCTTACCTTTGACCATCCTTGCAACTGGAAAAAAAGAAAATCAGAAATAGAAACTAAAAGAAATTCTTTCACAGCTTTAATTGGAAAAATATTTCATTCACCCAAAGATACATGTGAAATTATATTTTAACAACTCATAAGATTGGCCTTACAAAAAATGAAATAGAGTAAGGTTTTCTTGTTATCTCAGTTCTTGGTATGACCTACAAATGTTTAATATTACACAAAACTGAATAATAGACTTTTATGGCTTTAAAAAACAAACTTCTGAAAGATAATCAGCATCTAATGTACAGATACGTTCTCAAAACTTCAGAGTTATCACAGAAATGTGTATCAGTATTTTGACATGATGAGACAGAACAATTTTCTTCCATATTAGTTGCTGTAATGTTGCCTAGAGAAGGGGTTTTTAGACAAGTTTTTTTTCCTTGTTTTCTTCTTTTTTCTTGTTTCTTTTTTTTTTTTTTTTCCATAGAAAGGAGAGCTTAACAAAAACACAGTAAGTCGTCAAGAACAGACAACTTTTCCTGCAGTCTAGAAATAATTACAGTTCCTGAGAATCCAGTGGACACAGGTCCTTGAGACAGATACTGTTTATCCCATGAAGCTTAGTTGTTAGTTCAGCAATTTTACCCCTTCATTGTACTTCATGGTGCTTGGTGACCTCTTTTGATGCTTCCTGAGCCCTACACAGGGAAGACTAGGACATGAATAACCCTTTCCCATGCCATCTTACTGCTAGGACAGAACTAGATCATTGCAGATCTAGTTTCAGCAATGAGCCTTTGGGTTTCAACTTCAAGATTATTCCAAGCTGGCTGTGATGAAGAGCCAGGCTACCAATCACAGTACTGTGTAGGATATCTGTCAGTTGTTGCCATTTGGCTTGGGATTAGGGATCAGTCGTTGGCCCTCTTTCATTTAGCAGTAGAGACACATAGTAGGGCTCTGCACTGCAGTAAGCCAAATCATTTCTCTTGCTCAGTGTTTTGTTAGAAGGACAGGAAAACTAGCCACTTTTAAGTAGATTAGTCTGCACCCTTGCTGCAAAATGCTGAGGTACCAATTTGACAAAGAGTGATATTTGGCCTTCAACCTGTACCTAGGAGCCAGTTCTCTAAATACACCACAGAGGATGCTGCCAAAAATCAGCTCTTTCCAGAAGACACCCATATGAATCAGTACAGAGTTCAAGCATCCCTTGCAACTTCTCTCTTTAGACCAACAACTATCACAGTTCTCTTTGGTACATGTAAGGAATGGTGCTACCTGCACTGAGGCACAGTCAAGGTACAATAGTTTCATGTTAGTTAACCATGAAAGAAAGGAGGAACTGAAATAATATTGCCTACTTCTGATTTCATCTTGTGCAGTTCCACAGGCCAGTACAAAAGACCTGCTCATGGGTGGGAGATTAGGAGGTGTGCAAGAGAACAGAGGTCACTCATAAAATCTTATGAAGTATACAATAAGGCAGAAGAGAGAATATCCTCATCATTTCACTGCATCACTTGAGGAACGAGGGAGGAAACGTACATCTATAGCTCTAGGAAGTATGAGATGTCACAGTCTGGCTACATAAATGTATTAGTGCATTTACAACCTTTAAAACTGCAAGAAGGCCGCTGGAGTACTCTCCTGCTCACTCTTGAGATAACTGATTTCACTGCCTCCTGCCAAACAATTAATTCCATGGCCTACAAGACACACTGAGTCAGAAGAGTGTTTCCCTGACTTCTTGGAGATTGAAGGGGATACAATTGCTCTGTAGGCTGTTTTTATAATACCTGCCATCTAATCTTCTCATGCCACAGGCTTCAGAGATCTTGCTATGATCAAATAAAATCTGTCAGCCATTCAGAAAACTAAACTGAACTTCCATTATCTAAAAAGTATCTCTATGCTCCATAACAGAAGACAAACCTATTTATGAACAACTGAATCTGCCATGCAAAATAAAGAAAAGACCGTAAGACTTATTATATGTATGAGTAACTTCAAAGAACCTGTTGTCCCCATCATGGATAGATAACTAGAAACTACTAGTGCCTGTCAGATGCTCAAATCCTACCCTGTTTCTTAGGGTGCTTGGTCAGATGTCCTACAAACTTTTAGAAATAAAATACTTTAAGATCACCTAACAGCGTCTCAGAAGGGGTCCTGTAAGCTAGAAAGAATCTGAACAGCATGAGGCCAACAGGAAGACATGTCTTCCTTCCCTGTTTAGTGTATAAATCCAATAAGCTTATTCATAAATAACTATTCCCAGATTGCGTACGGAGCTAAAAGTCTACTGAAACTTAGGTCTCCCATAGTTATTTGATGCCTTAATTTAATGAGAATTGATATGCTTTTGTGACATGTCAATAAATAGTCCCACTAAACTTTACTAGTAAAGTTTAGGAAGCCAATAGCTAGTCCTGGGAACAGTTCAGCTAAGCAAACCCAGAAAATTAAGTCTTATCTCTTTGTTTCTGTTGGGATTTGCCACAAAACAGAGGAAAAAAATACAACTTCATGAATATAGGTGAATAAGTCTGTACTGAATATACCAATTCAGGAAAATGTCAACATACCCATTTAAAATTTGGTTGAAATAATTATAACCAGTTCTCAAGCCTAAGTAAGCATATTTATGGCTGACATTCTTCCCTCTTGTTCTTGGGAAAAGGAGAAAGTCGGGCTAAGAATGGAAACTTCATATTATCCTTAATTACAGAGAGGTTAATACTGCTGCATACCTAACCACTGGGGACAAGCTGAGTAATTCAACATGTACTGCCTGCAAGGTAGTCTCTGAAAGAGGCACAAAGCAACACTGTAAATGCTGTGTATGTGGGTAGCGATGGACACCATACTCTTCTCTTCAATGCACAATCATCTTCTAATCTCTAAGACTCATTTTCTCAAGCCAAATACTGTCAGCAACCAATAAGCTGCTATCAGTGCAGTAGCATGCAAGCACAACACAATATAATTATACTGGGTCTGGGATAGAATCAGAACAACCACCTATTATTTTCAATAGGAAGTTTACTTCCAGGAATCCAGCTTTTCTTCCCCCAAAAGATATCTCCTAACAGTTTCATTCACACTTCCTGCTACCCTGTAAGATTTTTCTAAATTCTTTCTTTTATTGCAAAATGCAGACCAATCAATAGCAATACTTAGAGTGTATAACAAGGTGTTATTAGTTTTGAGGTTCCACCTCAAAACATCTCCTAATCAGTAGATAAATGTGTTTCAGGTAATTCTTCACAACAACGGTAGCTGTCTTTCTTGGGCAATTGGTTTTTAATCCATGCATTTGCAAGTAATGGTATTCTTGAATGTATGTGCCCAAATACCATACAGTAAGATGGATTACAGTATTTAAAACTGTAATAAACAAGAACACGAGAACAGATGCATCATAAGAAATTTTGCTTTGATTTATAAAACAAACACCAAAAAGTTCCTTTCCGCAGGAACAGTTTGTCCCCCTCAAACTCGTACTTTCTTTCACTGGCTCTTAAATATGGATTAGCAGCAAAGATCTACACACTTGTGCATTTGAGGTTATAGTTAGAACTTAAGCAGTCAGATTCACACCTGCAACTCAACAAAGGTAGAAAAATATAAATTGTAATCAGACCAGCAAAACAAAGAACACACCTGAAAATGTGGCCCATTTTCCACCACAATACCAGGGAAAAAATGTTTAAAAAGGCAAACCAGCAGAGGAAAAAAAGCTCTTTGAAAGTGATAAGTACTCTAAAGCACTGAGACTGTGCATCTCTGACAATTTTTGTTGTACTTACCTAATATCTGTGCATGTTATACATGTGATACAGCGACTGTTTGTTGTAACGAGGTTCAAAGCCACAGATGTTTCACTGTCAGTGGTTGGGTGTGCTCCACATTTAAAGTAAAACTCCTGAAATATTGAAGGAGAGATAAAGAGAAGATTACATACCTGCCGCTCGCATCCTCCCTTTATCTTAGGCTAACTGACATTTGAGACAACAGACAAATTACCGCTGCCAACAGAAAAGGAGGACAATCATTAAGAAAGGTTTATAAGGAATCTCTTGCAAAAATACTAGTCTAGGTGTGTATTTTGTTCAGCAGTTTCCCTAGTGAAGAAGATACCTACTTGTGTACTAATTTGATACCAGTGTGATACATTCTGTGATTTTCTGGATTTATAGAAAAAAAAATTACTTCATCTTGACTTCATCTAAGTATAGTTATCAAAGGTAGAATACTAAGCATTGTCACTATGCATTAATATTTCCACATATTTTTTTTTTATTACAGATGTTACCATTTTCTCAACGCCAGAATACAGAATTAGTAAAGTTCGTTCTTGCTTTTGTGATGTTGGAAATCCATATGATACATTTTTACCATCATATTAAAGGGAAGCTCTAGCTCTCTTGGGATACATATTACATTTGCAATTATATATTATATTGTGTTTGAATTAAGTTGCTTTAGTCCATACTGCTCTATATAGCCTCTTAGACTGCTTTCATTAGAATAATACTTTTTACACAACTGTGTGCTTTGTTCTCTTTTCCATTGCACCCCAGGGAAAGCCATACCAATCATGCTGTGCTTAGATAAGGTTTTGTTATAAGAGATTGTTTTAAATGTCCAAATCACTCTATGCATCTGTAAATAAAAGCAGTTTGAAGACATGTGCTTTGCAACAGGAGCCACAGATGACAGTTTGCAGTTTCTTTGTTCCTATGAGACCTTTTTTCCAGTATCAAATTGTGGAAGTTTGTCATGAAAACATTAAGACTGGTATAAATGAAGTGTGAATTGGAAGGTAAGGGTATAAAAGCATCAGAAGAAATGACAAGAAGAAGGCATAGAAGAATGAGAGGTGTTGTTGGCATCAAGATATTAAGATCACACATGATTCTCAAGAAAGACACCCAGACTGGGGAAAAAAAAAATCCTACAAAAAAAAAACGAGAGAGAAAAAGGAAAAAAACAGAATAAACTGCAGCAAGAGAAAAAGACACAGAGATGGTGAATAAATCAGCAGCATTTCCTAATGACTCACAGAGGTGGGACAGGATGAAGGATAAAAAATTACAGTCACTATCAACTTCTTTAGGTTGCAAAAGTCACAGCCAAAACCCAGCACTAAGAACAACCCAAAAGCTGTGAAAAAGACTTGCTAGGTGGCGTTTCCTAGTGTCACCCCAAGTTCCTAGCTAGACTATCTGGACACATATTTTAGTCCTTGTTAGCATACGAATACAAGAGAACGAGTGTGGCTGAATGAAATCAGTTTTGTTTAATACAAAATCACCTTCCCCTCTATACAGCCTTGCACCGAGATTTACTAAAATACTGTACTAAAAGCAGTCCAGAAAAAGCTCTTACTTTCTCGCTGCTTTGAGCCTTGAAGTAGGGAGCTCTTCATCTGCGAAACAGCTGTCAATTACTGTTTTTTATCAGTGGTGATCATTTAGATACATTGTGTACTTCTACATGAGACAAATACAGTATTATGCAGCAATACCTCTAAGGTGGAATCTGGTAACTGGGATATGAGAATTATTAATACAACGTTCCTCCTAGGTTAGTCAATCCTGCTTCTCAGAGAAGCACTGATATATGCAATAGATTGAACACAAATAAAATATTCAAACTCCACTATCAGTTAAGGACTCATTGTCTGAAGCATGTGTTAGTAGCAGTTTAAGAGAACTAAGGAGTAAGAGGACAGCTTAAAGGCAAGCCTATTTTTAAAATGAAGTAATTGTTCACAAAACTTTTGAAGTAGTCACCTGTACATATTTACATAGAGCTAACTTTTTTTAATAACTAAATCATATTTCTGTCCTGCTTCCTAACATCAGGAAGTAGTCCCAAGCAAGAAAATATGCTTAAAGTCATCCTTAGACAAGACTTTAGACTTTCCATGTTTTTTTCTCTTGTTCAAGACCGTTACACACCCAGCTTTTAAATATCAGCTCAAATTGAAGCATTTCAGCAGTCAAGAATGAATCAATGGAATTACACGTTCATCTGGAGTACATGAAAACCTTACACAATCTGTAACTTTAATTTATTTTCAACCTTTAAAAACGTATCCATTAATCTTTGTATTATTTGCTAATGGGTTTTGGAGCTTGGGTTTTCTTTGCCCTTTAATTTGATTTTACTTTTGTTTGAATTAAACAGTAAGAAGGATTTATTTAAATGCAGGAGAAGTCTTGAAAATATCTCCTTGCTTCAGTACATCTTCTGCATACAACTAAGAGAATATTGACAACTCACTATTCCAGAACAGATAAACTATGGGCAAGGAAACATACAAAAGAAAAATAATTTTTGATAAAATTACTTACCCAGTATAATAAAACTTTCTTTGGGTCACAAGCAAAAAGAAAGAGAGTAACAAAGGAAGTAAGCTCTAAAACACTTGAAATAGCTTTAGACTTTTTTTTTTTCCCTAAAGAGCATCTGTTTGATGATTCTAATTGCTTTGATAATACCTTACAATGGCTATAAGGTTCTCATCATGAAAGCTGTTTAATGAAGATAGAAGGGAAATAAAGCAATACATTTCTTATTCCATACTTTAAGGTGTATGGAATATTGCCTCCAAGTCAGGAAGGGAAAAAAAAAAAAAAAAAAGAGAAAAAAAAAACCAAAACAAACCCAAAACAGTCAAGAGTCTTGTGCTACATTCCGAAAATACTTTCTCTGTAGCATTAGGAAAATTACTTCTCTATACTTCTGTTTATCAGCCCAAAAACTGCTTTAAGAAAATTCCTCTACTAATTATATTTACAATGTGCTTTGGTGTTGCCGAATGAAGAACATTATGGAATGTGAAAACACTATTTGAAATAACAAAAGAAAATATTGCCACGCTCCAAAACTATTCATTGAAAGACTTCCTGCTTGAGTAAACAGCAATTAAAGAAATAGCAGATCTTAACAGTAAATGCAAAAAGGACAGAGGGCTCGTTGAAATTATAGAAAAAAAAATTCCTTCAAGATTATATGTCAAGTATTTGTTCAGAAGAAATCTTCAAGATTAAAGAATAAAAAAGTCATTTATAACAAATGTGTTGAGACTAGCAGTACAATAAAACCAACCCATTTATAAAATGTTCACCCTTGCAAAAACAAAAGGTATCAACCCACACAATGCACAATTCTATAAAATCAACACAACAGTCTATATCTGTGGGGCTGAGACATCAGTGCTGTGATGGGAGTTCAGAAATACAGGGAGAGACTGGAATCTGAAAAACTCGGTACGCTGAGTGCCTGACAGTTCTGGCATAGTGTGGACTGCATTTCCACTTTTTTTTTTCTATCATAGTCATACACATTCCAATTGTTTGAAGGCTTTTAAAAGTCACGAATTCAACTAGGTTTCCAGTTGCAAATAAAAATGTACGTGGCCTGGTTTTACACAATGCTTAAATAAAAAATCCACAAGTATTTATTTGTTATATTCTACCAGATTCCCCAGAGACTTAACATACTTCTCATGATGCAAGCACAACCTTTTCATGCCATGGCATATATGTATGAAGTTATGAAGAAAGATAACCCATCAGCACAAGTTGTTTCTCAACTGATGCCAGCAATGAAATTGCTGAGAGTAAAATATAAGGGGGAAGAGTTTAGCCACTTCTCACTCTCCAGCCTTGCATGTCATCTGGCATGTAAATGTAGCTATTTTTTTATTTAGTCTTTCACGCAGTGTATGATAGCCTAAGGAAGGAAATTTGCTGCATTGTTTAATCAAAATCATTTATGTTCCAAGGTTAATCTCCAAACAAGAGTAGAGATCTTGGAGCCAGCCAATTTAGGACTAACCCTCTAATTTTGCCACAGACTGTCACACTCACACGAGCAGTTGTTACTACTTAAGGCTGACATCAAAATGTCTCTCTATACTTAACTGATGTTATGCTATATGAGACAATACTTTCGGAATTTTAACCTTATAGTAAAATAACTTTACAGAATAACGTTAAAGGGACAGGCAAAAATTCATGCAGTCTACATCACTATCTGACTACTTCTAAAATATTTTAAAATAGAAGAAATCACATTATTCCTCCTTTCTGCACTTGTGTTCTCATTTGGTACAAAAATTTCTGATGAATGTTTTTTTTTTTCTTGTTAAGTATTTCTATTCAGCAATGAGTAATGATGTCAAGAAATTACTGCGAAAGCAGAGACAAAATTTAGTGCTTTTCTTAGTTCTGAAAATGAGTAGTTTTATTGTCACCATCTCCTGCAGTGAATACCTTTAGATCATTTTCTTGCCTAAAGGCATAGGTCCCATGAAATTGTGAACATTCTATTTAACACTACAAATGTCTTCCTTTTGGCAGGGTATCTGATAGATTGTTATTCAGAGAAGGGAGCAGGCATTGCTCTTACATACTTTGTCACATTCTTCACTCCTGTTATCGCTTTTGTGTCACACAACATCATGAAAAGTGCAAGGGGGAAGAAAAGGTTCAAAGATACATGGTCAGTGTTAGCTACTTTTTATGAAATTCAAGAAGAAAATGCTCAAATTTATCAAAAAGATAATCTTCTTTGATATTTTACCAAAAATATCTCTCCCTAAATTGTTTTTTCAAACAAAGCGGGGTTTGCATACCCCTAACTGCTGATGGTAAGCGAACTGTCTTCTGTGTGGTCAAGTAACCAATGTAAGTAAGAGACCAAAGTCATACACAAACCGTCAGTGGGAAGACAGTTTCTTCTGGGCCTTATTCTGTTTCAGACCCTGTCTTCCCACTGATGGTTTGTGTATGACTTTGGTCTCTTACTTACATTGGTTACTTGACCACATAGATACACGTTCCCCAGTCCAGTTTACTGCATTGTCAGAAAAAACACTGCTCTCTGTTAACAAGTACCAAGACGGCCTGC